AATGGATCAGTTTTATAGTAAATTCTATACTTATAATAACCAAAAATCGATACTTATATTATTTTGAGACAAGTAACCGAGCCAGGATTTTTGAATTCTCTTGCTGTGAATGCCAACAAGCCCTCAGCGAAGACAATATTAGCACGAAGAATTATGCTCTTTACGTGAGCAGTTTTTCTAACCAAATTAGCAAAGAATAATACGAAAGCCAAATCTTTTATAACTTGAAATTCTGGCTCCAAGCCGTCTTACCACAAAAAATCGCACAACAAAAGCAAAAACTAACTGAATTAACTCAACAAGACCACCAAGAAAACACTTGCCTTCAACGATTAAACCAAGCCAAGAAAAATCTGGTCCAGGCCCAAAAAGATTTAAAAAACTACCAACGAATAACTATCGACTACAACAAAGCTGGTGAAATAAAATATCAATTCATTCCCCATCGTCTGGATGATTATCCTGCAATTTTGATAATTAATAAAAATCACCCTTTCACATTCACTATTAATAGCTGATCCAGTTGAATCGCTAATACCTATAGTTGTTTGGCGAAACTTTTTTGCGTGGTGACAAAAGATGAAACCTAAAACCGGCAAAAGACAAAAGGCAAACCTTTGGTAAAATCCCAAATTTCTCCGATGAAAGGCGAAACCTAAAATCAGAAATTGAGAAATATAAAATTAAAAAGGCAGAGCTACATTGCATTCACTATTAATACTAAACTAATAGATAATTCATTAGAATCACTCATACCTATAGTTAGACGAAACTTTTTGCGTGGTGACGAAAGATGAAATCTAAAATCGGTGAAAGACAAAAGGTGAAACCCTGGTAAAACCCAAGAGCAGGTGAAATCTATGTTAAAAAATACAGAACTATAATTAGCAACCCATTTTAGCAACAACACGTATAACGTTCAAAGACCTTGCATAATTACTGTATTTGTTGAGCAATCGTCCAATTCACTATCACTTTGTAGCGTTGGCTTCTATTATGTGAAGAACTTGAATAAACGTTTATACTTTCTTGATGCTGAGATAGGTTGAATCTGTTAAAGTTGAAGTAAATCGGATAACTATTAGCTTATATTGTAAATGAACTATAAGAAAAGCTAACGGAAAAAGGTTTAGAAAATGTTGGGGTTATGCTTTTAAGATTTGTATTCGTGAATAGGCTCTACACT